ATCCTCCCCCAATCCATAACCCCTGGCAACCACTAATCTATTTCTCATCACTACAGTTTTGTCTTTTTGAGAACTCCCTTTCCTTTTGCAACAATCTTTGGTTCCTTTTTTTTTTTTTTAATGGGGATCCCTGGATGTTTCTTTGTGTGTGCAAAGAACTCCAGTGCCAGCCAACTTTCTCTTCTATTGTTACTCTTTTGTGATTTACTGTTGCTAACGTTTATTAGCTTCTGTTATATGCCAGGCACTTGTGCTAAGCTCTTTATATATATTATCTCATTTTAATCTCACAACAGCTGTATGATATATGTAAGCCTTTATTATTTCCATTATACAAACCTAGAAACTGAGGATCAGAGAGGTTAAGTGACTTGCCTAAGGCCTCACAGCTAACAAACAGTTGAATCCCGGCACAAATACAGCCCACTTCACCATAAATCCTTTAACACTACAGTAAGCAATAAAAGGGAGGAGACTAACTAGAAAAGAGGTGCACTGAGAGAGATTGGAGGCAGTGCCAATGGGGGGCCATGTGGTTATTAAAAATGTTTGTAAATGTGTGTGAAGCTGGAGAACCATCTGGGTCTCTTGACTTCTCAACCTCAGCCCCTACCTTTATGTCTTCCTCCACCTGCTACATATGGTACTTGCTGTCCCGGATGGCACCTATCTGCTGTTTTCAGGGTCCTGGGATGATTTTAATCCCCTTGCAAATTTAGCAAAAACCCCACTGTCTATATCACAGCTCTGTTACAGGACACAACCTCTGAGACCCAGGAAAGGGGCTGGCCCACCTTCTGGTTTCTACCCAACCTCAATTCCCTGATGTGCTTTCTGACCTCATTTTTTTTTTCCCCATCAGTTGCTTGCAACAGCAGCTGAAAAGTTTCTAGGACAAAACCACCTGGTCTGTGTACTGGAGGTGGCAGGTGTGTTCTTGCTGATAAGGGGCAGGTAGGACAGAAATGTGTGTGATTGGCATGATACTAGCAATGTAGGGAGAAAGTCCTCCCCTGCAGAACCCATGGCAACATTTGTGTTGGGGAATAGAGTGAGAAGCAGGAAAAAGCAAAAGATAGAAAAGTGAATGAAGAACTGATGATGCTGAGGAAGTAGACCAGGTTCTTGCCCTGTGTATGGTTTTCCTTTGAATGTGCTGTTTGGGGAAAGTGAAGTTAGTTAGGGAGTTTTCTTCTAGAACGGATCATAGCAACTTAAGGGTTCTGGAAGTGAGCTGTGAAGCCAGCACACGCTGGGAAGAATCACACATCTGAATCATGGCCACGGATCACGTGGAGACAAACAAAACAATGCAAAAATCAGGGCACCAAGCACCGTCTTTGGATGGCACTTGCTTAACAAGGGGCTGGAAGGGTGTGTGTAATTTAGAGTAGAAAGTATTGAGTCACTTCAATAACAACCACAGCTAACATTTACTGAGCACTTAATATGAGCCGTCTCTGTGCTCAGAGCTAAGTGACATGAATCATCTCACTTATTTCTCAAAACAACCCTCTGAGGTAGGTACTACCATTATCTCCAATTTACAGATGGGGAATTGGAGGACCTGAGGTTTAAGTGATTCGCCCAAAGTGCGCAACTGTTGAGGGCAGAGTCAGGATTTGAATTTGGGTGTTTCTCAAACCCAAGTCCATAGATTCTTAACTTCTCTGCTTTACCACCTATCCTAAAACAGAAATATTACTAAAGTGTAACAGAATGAGGAGGAAGAAAGACCAGCTATTCAGGATCCTACAATCCTTTTGAAGGCTTGCCAAGTTCCTTTGCTTTAACTGCATTAGGGAAGGAATAAGAAGAGCCAGTGGGATCTGCACCACCCGGGCCTCTTCCTGGAGGAGTCTGGTGATCTTGCCTGTTGGTTTGAAATAATTGCACACGGTAGAAACCTACAGCTGTTTCTCAAGTTTTTCTTTTTACACAATCATCTAGGGAGGGTTTTAGACATGTCGGCACAATAGGCAATTTTTTTTTCTCTCTATTGGGCTGGCACCATGAGGTGTGACTATTGGTTCCACCCTAGAACACTGGTTGGCACAGGATGCATCAGGCCTCTTTGAGCCAACAAAAAGAGTTTGATGAGCTTTTTTTTTAGATGAGCCTAGGTGAGCAGAACAGACTTTGGGCTTCAAAAGCTCATGGACAGGAAGTTAAATGAACTCCTTCAGGGTGCCAGGTTATCGGCAAGCCCTTTGAAAGAGGTGTTTTACAAAATGGTGCCCTGTGACAACAGGTTATTTATGCTTTCTGAGGGGAGTACTTTATACTTAGTATTATCCTGGCCTGAACTCATCATAGAATCAAGTTCAATAATAATAATACCTATTACACTCTCCTGCAAGGGCTGTAACTCCTTCTACATTTTGTAGCATGCCTCATGCGTGGCAGGACACAATAAACAGTCAATAATAATGTTCCCTGTGATAATGATCTTCCAAATGCCTTTCATCTAAGGCTCTCAAAGTGTTTTGGAGATACTAATTAGTTAAGCCTCACAGTGGCTGTCTGTTTTCATAAAAGACATCTTCCCATTTTACAGAATTTTAAATTGAGACCCAGCAAACATAAGTGGCTTGCCCAAAATCATACAGCATGTCTAAATGAATCTTAATGATGATGCTTTGCATTTACACAGCAGATGTTTTCTAAGGCAGTAAGAGTACATTGCAAAGATAATTTTCACACTATCCTGGAAGAAGGTGGGTAGCAAGTAGCTTTTGACTACATTGGCTGAACTGTGGCAGAGAGGGCAAGGAACTCAGGAGGATTTGACCAAGGATGCAAGTCCATTCCTCTGACTCTCTGAGCAGACGGTGGCATCCAGATAACCCTCAGTTCTCTGAATTGTGGGATGCATAGTTACTTTGACAGTTGCAAAAAGATAGGTAATATTTTTGGGAGCAGAGACATGTTGCAAAACAACAGCCATATTGACATCCAGAAATGGGTTTGTTCATAGCCCCATTGAGGAAGGCAAAAGGGATGAGAGGAGTCACTTCAAGAAAGGATAGTTAGGAAATAAAGGAATTGGGAGGTGGGGGTGCCAGCTCTGCTCTCTTGCAGAGCAACTTTCTAGCCCAGGTCCTGCCTGAACACAGGAGCCCTTGAGTTTCAGCCTCACTACAGGACTTGGTCCAGAGCACCTTGGAGGGTGGGCACAGACCGTAGTCTGATGTTATAAGTCCCTGCAAAAGAATTCCAGAGAGACGCAGTATCTTAATGGCTGTCTCTTATGTACGAGCAGCTCTCACCTCAATTCCCTATTCCAGAAGGGCCCTGGGAATCCTCTATAGTTCAAACACTTGGGAGCTGTGGTTGCATTCATCGCTACCTTTCCTTTGCAACACAGCCACATTGAGAAAGATGAAAACCACAACAAAAATATTCCAAGCTGGTAAGGGAACTGCCTGCTCCCAGTGTGACACCGTTTCCTGAGTGAGTGATGATACTCTGCTGAAAGGCAGGTCAGACTTCCGCAAGGTGGGGAAGGGAAGAGGTTGCTAGGTCTTCGGAATTCAAGGGGGATTTGCTGACCCAGAGATAGAGCTCCTTTCTCTACGAACGAGGCATGTTTGAGAACAATTTGCTTCCCTACCCCCACTCTGCCATTTCCAGACCTGTGGATTCTGATTGATGACTAGACCAGGGGTAGTGGAGGGACTTAAAAAGAAAAAGTCCTTTTCTGGAATGTGTTCACATACAAGCACAATGGCAATAAAAAGTCTACAGTGAAAAAATGTCCCACTTCTTCCCACCCTCATTTCGAATGTTTACACATGCCCTATGGGTGGTTTAAAGATGCAGTGAACCCAGGAAGCGGTAGCCCTTAGAAGGAAAATTTTGGAAAGTTGTTCCAAATGCATATCACAAGCCACTCCTCACTCCTGAGTAAGGAAGCAGTCCTGCAAGACCCTCCCACACACTGTTTGTCTTCTGAGCAGGGAGATGTAGGACCCTGCTGCCAGCATTTAGACTCTAACGCTTGCTCTAGGTAAGACTTCAAGGAATGCAGCTTTGATTTTCTAAGTATGCCAATGGCCCAAGCCACAGCTTTCCGTGTCCACTTTGTTACACTGACTCCAGGGGTGACAGTGCAAATAATTCTGCTGGACTCACAAGGACCATGTCCTTCTTTCCAGATGTGCCCTTACACATTATCCCACAACAAGACTCATAGCCAGGTCAGATGAAGTCCTCGGGGTGTGATTTCAGTGCTGGACAGAGCGATTCCCATTATCCAAACATGAAAAGCATTAATCTCCTGCGAGGCTTAACTGGGTCTGTTTGGTTTTTTAATTGCAGCGCCTGCTGTGTATCTTCTGTGTATTTCATTCATTTTGCAAAATGAGACACATCTGCAGAGCTTCTATACACAGCTGATGTACTTCACAGCCCAGCCTTCGCTATCAATCAGTCCACCCACATAGACGCTTCCCTCCTGCACGATCTCCCTCGTCAAGTATCTTGATAGCTTCGAACAGATTATGAATGAGTATTGCCATAATAGCACTTTATGACTAGGGGTGGGAAGATGGATTTGGGTAAAATTCAAAAAAAACTTGACATTTGGAAATTTCCAAGAGATCTCAAAAGCAACAAGCAGTTGGATTTGTTTTCTCTTTTTTTTCCCCACCCTCCGTGCATTTCCCAGGCACTGGTTTGGCCTCAGAAGAGCAGAAATCAAACACCAAAAATATAATCTAAAAGGCTTTCCTTGTTCTACTACTTTCTGGACAAGAGGAAAGGAGAACCTAGGAAGCTTTAGTAGTTCTAAAGAGAATTCTTAGATAGATTAGGTAGGCTCAGGCTTCCATCGTATTTGAGTAAAATGATCACTGCCCACAGAAACGTATCACTGGGGAATCACCAGCAGCACTCTGGAATGTTAAACTTGTAGTTAAAAGAAGATAATCTCTAGCTCCTTGTATACACAAATCCAACCTCCATGTGGGCATGATATTAACAAATAAGATCTCTCTTACCCCATCCATGTGGATTCTGATATTAGGCACTAGCCGGAAAGGACTGGCCTGCAGACGTCTGGGGTTGGTCCTGTTTTTCCTGCCATCCTGCAAGGTCATCATGCCGGGCCTGCGGAAGGAGCCTCCTCTCCCGGAGCTCTGCCCTGAGCGCACTCCATCGAGAAGGCGCACGAGCAGCAGGTTGGCCGGCAGCGCCTCGATGCTGCAAAACACAGGCGTCCTGCATTCGGGGCACCGCAGCTCTTTGTGGGCCTTGAAAACCCTCTGTAGACATGGTTTGCAGAAGGTGTGCTGGCAAGGGAGGACTTTGGCTGTGACATCGAGCTTCTCAAAGCACACAGGGCACTCCAGAAGATCAAGTAATGTCAAATCATCCATTTTATTTCAAAACTCCAGTTCCCACCTGGAGGAGCAGAGTCCACATGATAAGGTCAGTTGAGCAACGGGGGCAGAGCTGGCCTCTTGAGAACGTCAGAATTCTTGCCTGCGTGAAGGAGGGAGAGGAGAGAAAAAAAATGTGACTGCTCCGAGAGGTATATCCCACCTACATCGAGGCAGTGTCTCATAAGGCAGTTTGCAAGTACTTTGTTCCGGCACCCAAGTTTCAAATGACTCATTCTGATTCAATGCTAGCAGGTATAAGACTCAACTCGTGCTTGCTGTGAGGATCAGAGGAACACTGAGCACAAGACTGACTGTTCATTGCCTATGTGGCCAGGAGAGCAGAGAAATAAACTGGCCTGCTGAAGTGGCTCCCCAAGCCCTCTCTACCAGCCAGGGCCGGGAAGAGTTCCTTCACCCCTGCCTGGGGAAAGCTCCTGACAGTCTCAATTCTTACAACAAAGCCCCCTCCGAACGCAAGTTCTGTGAAGTTATCTCCTCCTCCTCCTTCCCCTAAATCTAAGTGTATCTGTTATCTGCATGACATGCAGATTAGTTTAGGTCGGTACGTTTATCTGAATCTCATGCAGATGTAGAATTATTTCCTTTACAATATACCTTCCCACATGATGCTAGCAATGAAAAATTTCCATTAGAAACCCATTTCCAAAAATTGTTTTGCCTTAACTACAAGTCAGGGTGCTTGGAAGCTCTGTTTCTTTTCTTTTTTCATCTTTGGTTCTTTTTTTTTTTCTCCTCATTCTGATTACCTTAGGCTCAGAGACAATATTCCTCCCACGAGGTAAAGTAGTGCAGCCTGTTTAGTTACTTTGACATTGTTCTCAGTTTCAAACGAAGCAGATAGGAATTCCGGATTGTGGTCACAACCTGTAAAAACCGTACTGGGGCAGCATATACAGGTAGGGGTCGTGTGTGTGTGTGTATGTGTGTATGCATGTGTGTGTGTGTGGTCTGAAAACAGTACGTATTCCAGAAACAAGTTTCCTTTTGGATGTATGAAAAGAAGCCTCCAGTTTAGAAAAGTGTGGGAAGAAGTCAGCTGTCCCTCACAAGTGCCAGGGCTTCAGTGAGTACTGAGCCCAGAGGTTTGGCAAGAAGGCCAGTGGCTCCACTAGCGACTAGTCAGCAGGACAGATACGACGCGAGAATGAGCGATGGCGCCTCGCCTTTCTAAGACTCCTCTCCAAAGATGTCAGCGCGGCGGCGGGCTGGGGAGGCGTGTGGGGGCCACTAACCTTGTGCGTGTAACCTCTGCTGAGTTCAGCTCAGCCCCCTCCTCCGCGCAGCAGGGGTGCGCGGCTCCCTCCAACCGGCTTCCATTCCCCCAAGCGCCGCTGCTGCCACCGCTTTGAAAACTTTAACCACTCAGTCTTACTCATTTCAAGGGATCGCCTTACCCAGCCCTGTTAACGCTTTCACCGCCAGGCTGCTGCCTACCAACCACGCTTTTGTTGTTGCGGTTGTTAACTTTATGATCTTTCCTTTAGTTAACTGAATTGTTTCTGGGAAAAGATGGTAAGAGGTAAAATATCAGCCAGTCCCTAAGGCCAAGTATTTACAAAGTTCATATTTTCACCTTTCCCGGTTTCTCTAGTATCCAAGGAGTCGGAACCTGCTCCATTATAAACATACCAAAGTGATTGTGTTTATTTTAAACCTTCATAAGGATTTCCTGGGAAGGTCAAAAGTAAAAATGGTCAAGCTATGAAAATAAGGATAAGCCAGACACCTAGAAAATGTTGCTCTTTGAAAATCATAGTCAATCTCTACATTTAGAGATAAGAGGGACTTTAGTGATCTTTTCGCTCAATCTGTTTCAATTAAGAAACTAGTGTCACATATATACACATACGTGAAAAATCAAAGCACAGAGAAGCTTTTTCAAAAAAGGAAAAACAGTGGCCTCCAAGCTCTCTTCCTGCCTGTTATCCACTGTAGTCTTTTCATATCCTCAGATTATGCCTATATTTCTATTTTTTGATTTATCAATAATACATTTCATGTAAAACTACAAAGGTATCCATTTAAGTGAATAATAACGATCTTAATGCCAGGGTAGTCCTTATCTGTGTCAACCACTGTTCTAAATACCTTACCTATATTAGCCTTTTAACCCTTTAACAACCCAAGGATACACTAAATTATTCTTTACTTTCATTTTGCGGATGAGGGAACTTGAGACACAGAGAGGGTAAATAACTCATCCCGGGAGTCACAGCTCCACCACAGAAGGCAAGTGATCTGTGCTCTTAACAATGTCATGGAGTGATATAACTTTAAGAGGCTGGCCGGGTGCGGTGGCTCACTCCTGTGATCCCAACACTTTGGGAGGCCGGACGTGGGCAGATCACGAGGTCAGGAGATCGAGACCATCCTGGCCAACATGGTGAAACCCCGTTTCTACTAAAAATACAAAAATTAGCTGGGCGTGGTGGCACGCGCCTGTAGTCCCAGCTACTCAGGAGGCTGAGGCAGGAGAATCACTTGAACCTGGGAGGCGGAGGCTGCAGTGAGCCGAGATCATGCCACTGCACTCCAGCCAGGGCAACAACAACAACAACAACAGCAAAAAGAGGTGAAGAGGTGGTTCAAGGGAGCTAAGCCTCCTCTAAGAGGGCAAGAGGTAAAAAGATAATGGCCAATACTGGCTTCTCATTTTTTCTTACAGATGAGGCAGCTGTGCCCAGAAAGATCAAGAGATTCTTTGAAGTTGTCCAGTGAGTTAGGGGCAGAATTGGGACTAGAAACTAGGTGTTTGAGGCCAGGTGCGGTGACTCACGCCTGTAATCCCAGCACTTTGGAAGGCTGAGGTGGTGCAGATTGCTTGAGGTCAGGAGTTTGAGACCAGCCTGGCCAACATGGTGAAGCCCGATCTCTACTAAAAATACAAAAATTAGCTCAGCATGTTGGCTGCGAGTGCTTGGGAGGCTGAGGCACAAGAATCGCTTGAACCTGGGAGGTGGAGGCTTCAGTGAGCCAAGCTTGTGCCATTGCACTCTAGCCTGGGTGACTAAGACTCCGTCTCAAAAAAAAAAAAAAAAAAAAAGAGAAACTGGGTGTTCTTTTTAAAATTATTGTTATTACTGTATCTATAGACATAAGGATGACAATTATTTATTATGCAGAGAGTGCTCAGACACAGCTCAATGGGAAAATCGTAAGAGGAGACCAGGAGGTCTGAAAACACTGTTTACATGTTCTTCCACGTTCTTTCATGTTAGTTCCAAAAAATCAAACATGCATGTGACCCAGAACTTTAGGATGGAGCAGATGGTTATCTATTTTCTGAGCACTGAGGCCCTAATTTTGATGTAGGTCAATTTCAGAGACCACTTTCAGCTATTACTTTTTTAACGTCACTGTTGGGCTTTAATAATATCACATCCCATTCTGCTTGCCTCTCTCCTTCTATTAATGCCTACTCTTCAGTCTGTGCCATAAAGAAGCTCCTTGCGGTTTACTGTCCTCTTACTCTGTTTCCCACTTAGTAAAGCTGAGTCAGTTTCCTTTGTGCCCTGCAGTTGTCTCACTCCTTAAAAAGGGCCACTCCTATGCTGGAACTCCTGTTGCAGAGATTGGCAATTTTTTTCATTATTCCTTCTCTTGTTCTTAAACACACTCTATCTCCCTTACATACTCATATCTGCACCTGTATGCACATGCATGCATACACTTGCATAAGGGTGCATGCACACATAATCTTAATAATAGTAACACCTGTGGAGCACTTGCTGTATGCCACTGACCAGTGCTAAGATTTTAAACATATTATCTCATTGAATTCTCCCCACCACCCCATAAGACACTGTAACATTTCCAGGGTTACAAACCTTGTGATCTGAACTCAGGTTGGTCTAATCCCGGGGCCTGTGTTTCTTTTCATTTTATAAAGTCATGTACATATCATAAGTACACCCATATATCTTTACTATATAAATCCGCATGTTTACACATATGCCCGTGTTGTACATACCAGCTAATCTCAGAGCAAATCCAAGACAAAATATTGATGTCAGAGAAGGAAATTGGGCCCCTCTGGGTTGTAGTCTACCCATCTCATGGCCCCTCCACACCCCTGTATGGTCAGTGGTCTTAGAAGCTTCGAAACCTCCCATCCCTGAGAAAATGCAGTCGAACCAGCTCAGTCCCCGGAAGGTAGACTAGATCCAGTGGGTTACTCTTTTCTAGCAAATCTGGCGATTGAAAATCCAGTCAAATGAAATCGTGATGGTAGAATTTTATGTTCTAATGGAGGACAGAGAAAATGTACACTGAAGCAAGGGGTGGTCTTTCAGCATCTTTCAAACGACGCCCTGTAGGTGGTCCCCAACACCACCCATATAAGGTTAGTCTTGAAGAGAAAATTTCTTTTGAAACTTTTAAAGAAGGGCGAGAGTTTTAAATGGGGATTTGTTCTGGCTTACCCAAATACTACCTTGGCATCAAATCAGATGAACATGTATTCTTTAAAAACAAACAAAAAGGTGAACTATGCATACCTCTTCAGACGCCAGGCCACCTCCCTTCCCCCGCTGTTCCCACCCCACCAACACTCCTGTTTCTATCTGTAGTTATAGGGTGATGATTGGCTGCATTCTTTTTAAAAATCTGTATGATATGTCTGATCTTCTGTTGTGCATATTTATGAGTATATTTAGATTTATGTATGTAAAACACACAAACAAGCAAATCTGGTCATATTGTTTCCCTAGTTAAAACTCTTCAGTAGGTTTCTACGACCTTAGGATAAAATCAAATCCTTCTTCTGACCTGTCAGGCCCTGCATGATCTGGCTTATGTCCACCTCTCCTGCTTCAGCTTATATCCCCATCACCCCCTCACTCAGCATACTCTTGATCCACTGGGTTTCTCTTCACTTTTAGGATCGTGTTTTTGTCATCAAGCATTTGTTCATGCTCTTCTTTCTGTCTTCAACACACCCTCTTCCTCTTCCTCTCTTCCTAGCTACTCTCTTCCTCCCTGTTTTGCTTTTTTAATCCCATTCTCTGCAAATTTGAGCTTTAAAAAATGTCAATTCCTCCAAGAAGCCTTCTTTGATTCTCATGAGTAGAAAGTTTGTCATCCTACACTTCTCCTTTATAACAGCTATCACAACTGTAACTCAGTAATTATTTCATAATGATTTATTTAATGCCCAACTCCCCCAAACAGACTGTAAACTCCAAGAGAGGAAGGACCTTATGTGCCTTGTTGCTCTTCTGTTCCCCTGTATTTAACACAGTGGCTGGCATGTGGTTGATACTCACTAAATGTTGAATGGGTTTATTGATAACTAAATGAATGAGTGATGTTCTTAAAAATTTGTGTTTGGGCAGGTGTATACCAAATGGTTGGTAATGGTTTTATATTAGACACCTCTTGAGTGTCACTTTCAATGTTCTCAACCACACCTCTTATTTAAGCTAAGAAGTTTTCCCAGATTCAGGCCACATACAGAGATGCTACCTGGCAGTGTCTATCCTCAAGATCCAGTCACGAACTTCTTGCCTCCTGCCCTGGAGCTTCTCTGATGTTGCAGCATGGGACACACATGAGAACTTGCTTCACACACACGTGTGCATGATCCAGAAGTGTGGACCGTCTTTGACTAATGGAAAATCTGTGGATACATTTTCTGATTTTATCCCCTGGGCAGGTGGTCCTGAGATGTCATAAAGTTCTTCTGAAGTTCTCATGAGATGAGTACCATTCATCCACAGGGGGCTGACACAATAATGCATCTTTGTGCTGGCTTTCTCTCATTCCCTTTCACTCCCGCATCCCTAACTCCTGCTCCCAAATAAATCACTTTCAAGGAAGCAAACCTTTGTCTCAGGCTAAGACAGTTTCTTTCCAATTAAAAGTTAAATCACAAACAAGTGTGCAGATAAGTTTTGCCAATCAAATTTACTTACGTATTGGAATTATGATTTTAGAGGTATGCTATTTTCATTTGACTGGCTCTTAGCCACTTGGTGGTCTCAGGCTCTGCCATAAAGTTACTCATTTGTAAAGCACTCCTTAAATCCATCAAAGAAGTTGAGGTATTTGGAAATCTAAAGTCTTAGAGCTGCAGGTCGTGAAACCTCTCTTGATCATCACTGGACTTTCGTTGCTGAAGGTCATGTTTTGTACATCTTTGCTCTCTTTCCTTAGAACCTAGTATAAATCTAGGTATGTTTTAAAATATTTAAATAGACCTATGTTATCTGTTTCTGTGATGTTGACCTTGCTCATAGGATTTGATTTTCTAGTGATACTGAGAAACCTTCGGGACAATTCAAGAGGAGGCATGACTGGAGGACAACAGTGGAAATGTGAAGAAAATCAGACTGACAGGGGTTGAGTGGCTATTAAATACTCTGTC